CATTACGTAAGCGTGCACAGTAAGGATAGATAGCATTAAAAGAAATAAATATTGTTTCTTTTTATTCAACATGCAAAGATATCAGATAAAGATTATATTTATGTATTAAACATTACGAATTATGTACCTTTTGGCGATGAAATGTATTTCTGACGTCAGAAGATTGACGAAATAGTTTTCTTTCTTTAAATTTATAGCGGTTATTGTTTGGCAGTCTCATTTAGAATAGTATTTGCTTATTATTCTCTGCAGGATTTTATTTGTCTTCTAATGAGCTCTGATAAATTAGAAGCCAAGAGACCTCCTTAATTTAAATTAGTAATTTTCTTTAATTGGTCTGCAAGTGACAATGAAACTTAAAAAAAAAAAAATCAAATTATCGTTAAAAGGAGACAAAAAAAAATTCTCATGTATCTCGAAAACTCCGGAGCTAGTTCAACGGTTCCCGATCGCATGTAGGGATTAGTGAGAGGAGGTATTTTGAGCAACGTAATCAGAGGATTTTAATTTTTCAGAGGATAATCAGAGGATTCAACGTAATCAGAGGTAATATTTTGAGCAACGTAATACAAGTAGCTTAAAGTTTTCCTGTGCCGCCCTGTTAACATGGTGGTAAGGAAGATGGCTAACATAGCCCCCTTAGAATTGGGTCCGTAACTCGGAGAAGGCATAGTTATTCGCTAATGCATAGTGTCTTTGCGGCACTGGGCATTTAGTGTACTTTTGAGACGAAAGTCCTCTTGAGAGTTTAGTGGAAATGAAAGAGTGCTAGGAAAACCTCGGATCTGTTCCACTGAGATTTCTTCTTCAGAACTGGAAAGAAGCTGGGAAAAAAGGCCGTGCCTATAAGATGTCCAACCCCCTTGACAAAAACAGGCACTCACAAAATCCTAGCCGTGATGAATTCATATACCTGATCCAGAGATCCTTCCAGATTGGGAGAACTAGAAACATCAACAACAGGTTTTATATATGTATTTTTATTGTTGTCAAAAAAGTAATTTCTATCACCTTTTGATAATTTTGATAATTCTATCACCTTTTGATTTAGTAATTACTCGAATACACACTCTGTTTTCTCAAAGAAAGTCTCTCACGCAGCATCTCTTTTCTTAGATGAATAAGCCTGCGTGGTTTGCGAAACTGATAACGAAATCTATATTTGGTTACAGAAAATTATGTGCATACGAAAAACTCAAATGATTTGATCGGTACCTGAACATCTATTGGTGTAACACTTATCTTTTCATTGCTAAGGAGATCGGTTTAAATTAAAAAAGCAAATATCAAGGAGTATATTATGCGGAAATATTTTGTTCTTTTTTTACAAGTAATATAATAATACTTTATTGCCAAATATAAGATGTATAAAAGGTGTTAGAATAAGTGTATGGACACTACATTATAAAAAATGTAACTTATGTTGGAACTAGATTAATTTTCAAACAATTCCGTGTTTAATTTTTTGTATAACAATTTTGATCTGAGTAAAATAATAAAGCGAAAATAATAAAGCATAACATTAGACTATTTCTATTGTCTATTTATGTTTCTCAATTTTGTATCAGCAATTGTAATTTGAAAACAGTAAAATATTTGACGAATGACTCATAATCAATTTTTTGGGGGGTTTTTAAAGGTAATAAGAGCACGCGTTCTTTTAGTCTGTTTCTTTACGGATTGAATTTGATACTTCCTAGTGGTTCTTTCAGTTTCCTTTTCTTTAATTAAACAACAAACATTCATTAGAAGGATACGTATCACATTTTTTTAATGTCCTCTTCTAATCGACCAGCAAGTCGAATTTCTTGCATACACTATTGTCATCCGTAAAAGATTTATAATTGTTCCATCATTACAGTTTCTTAAAGAAAGTTAATATGAAGAAATTACTTATAGTTACTTTTAGAAAGCATCAGTCTTCTTGTAATTAGGATTTTACAACTATTAATCCCCCCCAAAAGTATTATCCTTATGAAATAATATTTTAGAAGTTTTCAGGTTTATTTTTAAATCGCAGAATTTAGCTTTTACAAGCTTCTTACAAGCAAACAGGTCAAAATAATGCTGCCATTATTAAATTACACTTCTATTGGTGAACTATCCATTTTACATACATTATTTTTGTATTTTACATACATTATTATTGTATTTTACTTTCAGTGTTCTAAAAGAATTTGCCTTTCGCTTATGGACGAGTTTTCAAGTAATCATTGCATGATATTATTCATACATTCTTTGTTGCATGTCTTTTGATAAAAATTCGAATACACTTTCTCAATATCTTTGTCTGTTGTTGGAGTGAAACCAATAACAGACTTTATTCCGATAAAGCTAATTTATTTGCTAATTTAGAAAAAATGAGAATTTCTACTAAGCAAGTTAGAGATCTGGAAACTCTAACTTCCTTATGAAGTTGTAATATGGAACAATACATTGATGCTTAGAATTTGATTGCCTCTTGGAATACATTGCATGAATTTTAGTTGCGGCATGAGTAATGTACGTGATAAAATCCACTCTACACTTTAATCTAAAAATTCCACTAATTATGATTTCTTTCTGTTTTATTATTCTTATATTTTTAAGTTGACTTTATTAACATTATCTTTCTGAGCTAAGATTTGTGTTCGATTGAGAGAGCCAAAGTATTATAAACTGGATTAGACGTTATATGAATTGTTTTTTTAAATAAAATTACGTTTGTCTTGGAGCAGATGTACATTTCACACAAATAAACATAAAAATGCGGTAGAACTGCAATTTGTTATTGCAACTTGCATTGTGAATTTAATATCTGGTTTTGCAATTTAGGAAAAAAGGAGAGCAGTTATTAGTACAAAGAAAGATATGTTTCCCCATTTTATACTAAAGTTCTGATAAAATCCGCTTCTTCGAAAGTTCAACGACTTTAATTCGTTTTTTTAATTACCCCTTTTGTTACTTTTTGGTTTTTTTTTTATATAAGGGCCATAAAAAATCGCGAAACTACTGTTGATGCCAATGCTGCCAAAAATAATTACGGTAACCATAACGCAAGAAAGGAAACATAATAGTAAATAACTATCTAGGATTATTGTTTTAGTTTAGATGAAAGGTTAATTTCATTTAAATACATTTTTTTTATTATAGTTTATAAACAAAAGGCTAAACATAACTGAAATATATAAGTTTTTGGCTAAACATAACTGAAATATATAAGTTTTTTTTATGTCTTCCAACATACCAGAGAGTATTTCATTTTTTTTGTGCAAGCGTCTGTACATAAACTCGGACAAGTAATAATCGAAATGCTGTCGAGCAATGCGACTTTTATTACGCCATTTAGCACTGCACTACAGCCGTTCTGCTGTTTGTTTTTATATGACGCTTACTTTCGGGGTCCACAGTGCTCAAAACCGGCATTTTGCAGTTTATCAGACTTGCATGATTTCCAGCAGTTAGTACAAATTTTAATGCTTCCTGCTGCGATATTTTTTCTAATAACGTTCAATAAAGTTTTAGCCGATCGTTCTGGAACAGCGATTAAGAAGAAACATTCATTCCATTCTCTGAATAATCCGCCAAAAACACATAGTGGCGGAAGAACTCGTCCAACGTTATCCTTTCTTCTACTGAAAGGGCTTTCTTCTACTGAAAGGGCTTTCTTCTACTTCAATAATTTTACCCCATCCGCCGAATTTCAAGTTAGGCCCCGAGTAAATAAAGTTACGGCACACACCTCACGCATGCAACTGTTCCTGTCTACAACTGTATTGTGGTTAATTTTCAGATGAAGTTCACAAAATTCAATAAATGTCATTTCTTGACACCAAAAATAAATGAACCTGTAAGGAAGGGGATTTTCGAGCCTTCGAACCAATTTTGACTTCTTAATCCTTTCTTCTCATTACACAGACCCATCAGCGGCCGAGCGGTAAAGACGCTGAACACTGGTAGTTCGGTCCGAGGTTCGAATCCCGCCAACGGGCTGGCTGCATGGGTATTTTCGTGGTTTTCCCCATGTGAAACGTGTATACGAGCCAGTTTCCCTTAGAAAGTCCTCCACGACGGCATCTCTCCCCTTAGGCAGATTGCCCCTCGAGGCTTTGCCATAATCACACACACACACACATCTCTACTGAGTTACCGCTAAAGCATAATTTCATCTCGTGGTTGTTCGAACAAATTTTCTATCATGAATGATGCCTCTTCTTTGAAAATATTCTATTGCAGATTTTTCGTCATTGGGCAATTTCCAAACTATTAAATCCATAGCGTTATTAGAAAAGAATTAAAAAAATTAAACTAGTATTTCAATGGCGACTTATAAATATAGAAATGTCTAAATTTAGGCACACCGACACGTTCGCTAGATCTGGTGCTTTTGCGCATATATTTTCGCTGCAATTTTTTACGGTTCCTAAAACGGAATAGTACGCAATTGTTTTAAAGCATTATAGCACTTTTATAGCTCATTTTGCCCATCTACTGTCAAAATTTTAAAATCATGTAAAGTTTTAAATTCATTCGTATTGTAAATTGTAATAGCATATTTTGCTAATTTTCATGGAACATGCATCTATTTTAAGTTAAGGGTTATTTGGTATCATGGGCAGTCCTTTAAACCCGTAATATTTTGCTTTTATTACTTTTTTGTGATATCTTCGAGAGAACTGGGCCTTTAATCACAATCGCATTGACTACGTTGTATTTATTTAATTATTATTTGAGTGAAATATCTTGGATAGTGTCTGCCGTAAAAGGGTGTGACTTGGTTATGCAGGTTAAACTGAAACTTGAGAGCTGTTTTGTTTTCATCTCCAAAGTTGAGTACTGTGTTTCATAACTTTGTGATTTGAGGCAAACTGAGCAAAACTGAAGACCATAAGGACAGTTAGATTTAAAACACTTTCGTAATATTCTTGAAGTCAATAAATGTTTAGAAGTACTCAACAAATGTCTCATTATTATTATTATTGCACAACTTAAAAAGGTTAGTAAAGAGTACGTAATATGTGTATATTTTTAAATTATACAACAATATATTTTATTCATTTACCATATACAATCGATCAAGTTTCACAAACAACACAGCGAAGAACTTGTACATCAATTTTAAAACACGAATTAATCTGATATATAGTTGTTGATATTTTAAGCCAAGCAAGTGTGTGTAGAATTTTATAGTTCATCAAAATGAATAAACAATGATATAATTTCTAATACATAAAAGATCGGTTTAATCTTGGTGCCCGATATTTCTTACGAAAACAGTCACTTTACCAGTTGTCCTACAAACTCTCACTTAATAGCACTAAGTAGCCATTTTCTCCAAAAATGCAGATAAGTGTTATTTTTTTTTATTTTTTTTATTTTTATTTTTATTTTTATTTATTTTTATTTATTTATTTATTTTTTTTGCAATGGAGACGATATATTTTGAAGAAAATTTACTTTCCAAAAATCACAGAAACGTGGCAATTTTAATAAAAATTAGATAAAAAACATTTCCTTGAAAATGTGGGCCCAAAATGTGTTTATATATTGTCTTTTTGACTAAAGAAAGGTTAACGTTTGCCTAAAAATATATTTGTTTATTTAATCTTAATGAAATTTAAATAAACTTTTGTAGTACAAAATATCGAAATTAAATTTACAATTTGAAGCTGGTTATATTCATTTATGTCTGGTTGAACATTAGTGTCGTGAAAACGATATAAAACCAATTATATGCCAAATGCTAAATTTACAAAGTTTTACAATTTAAATCACAGATAACAGTTTTGAAAGAATGATCGATGCGGACTCGCACATTTAGATATTTTTCAAAGTAACTGATTTATATACCCTCTTTCAAGTACTTTAAATAATGGTATGAATAAAATTCTTTTCAACTTAGAGTTCTTAAACATGTTCCCTAAATATAGACTTCACGTTTTCCTAAATATAGGCTTGAATTTTTATTCAGGATTTATTGCGAATTATTAAACTATTTTTAATTTTTATTATCTGTAACTGAAAACTATATTAGACAGTAACTATTTTTTAATTCATAATTTCCGGACATGACGTTTTCTTTTCAAAATATAGATATCTTTTGTTTTAAGCAGTAGTATCTAGCTTTGAAAGCGTACGAATAACGTGAGCGAAAAACTCTGAGTACATGTATATATTCAACAACCATTAACCAGTCTTTGGATACATGGCAATACTATTTGCTGTAAATTCATAATTAAGTAATATAATTTAGTTAGTTGAATTCATTTCATCTTCAATTGTTTGCAAAAATTGTACTTAATAACTAATTTCCATGATTTATTTACACAATTTGTGTACGCATGCAAACCGCGTTTGCGCATGCGTTAAACAAATACATTAAAAAAAAAAAAATTATAGGCTACTGTGCGAAGGTAATAAACAAATGAATTTAGCCGTTTTTCGGATCACAGAGCTCAACTTAAGATAATAAGTTAGATTTAGTTAATTCTCGACCAATCGAAAAACTTTATAATTAATTTAGTTATTAACAGTAACTGTAATATTAAACTAGTAACGTTTAACTTTCATTATAACAGGTACATACGTTATATGAAATAACCAAACTGCATATTTTTGAAGAAATATGGCTACATTTGCATTTATTGATAACATCGTCAAGATGTACTAGCTAAGACGCTTAGTACGAAGGGAAATGTGTGAATAAATCTAATAATTCGATGAAAGGCTGTGGAAATTCAACGACACTGAATCGTGACGTGAAACTGATCCACGTATCCGTTAACATAATCCAGAATGAATGATGTTTCATACAGGAAAGTATACTTATTTACAAATTTTAAAATTCCACCATTCTGGTTTACAAATTATTATCCTAATTACTTATAACAAGTTTCGTGCACTTCTTGGAAGAAACGATACAGGAAGTGTGAACGAAACATTAGACGCCTTTAAGTCTCTTCTTAAACCCATGGCTAAGAAGCTTCAAAAGTTTTGTAGTCTAGGATAGTACCTAAACTCGCATCATCCGCTTAGTTGCTTGAGCTTTTTACCTTGCTTTAACCTTTAATCTTTCGATGTCTCAAAGCAAACGTTTGAGGAACCTTCCATCATTGTCTACTTTTCACAGATGCCCTGTTTATGGAGAGGATGCGAAATCTCAAGGCACAAAGCAACTGTTGGAAGTTCAGAACTTGCAAGTTAAGATGAATGCGTCACCACATGTGATACCTCCACTGCAATATCAACAGCATGGTTACTATCAGAAAACTGGCAGTACTTCTGTCTGCTTCATATTGAGCTTGACCAGAGGATTCTGAAAAATAAGATATTGTTAGGAACATGCTTTTAATCAAAATATGCGTTGTAATGAAATGTATTAATTTGCAACAAAATGATTAATCATGTCTTGATTTGGAAAAGGGGACAGGTACTAAAAATAGGCCAATGATGGCCGATTGCTTGAAGATGTTGCCCCAGTTATTTCATAACGATTTAAACTTCTAACAAAATTGTCATGCTGCATTGGCGTCTCTGTTATTTTCTTCAGAAAGCACTGATTGCACTGTTTTTAAGTTTCAGATTTTTAACAAAACTCTTAGAATAATCAAAGAGATTCAAATGTATTACAGTTTGCGACAGCAATTTACAGAATCTTATGATTAGATAATTATTTAAAGAAAATTGCCGTGGTCCTTTACCTAATAAAATAAATATCTGACAAAGAGAGCGCGCGGCATTTCAACATCGGTTTTAAGAAAATCTTTGCAAAAAGCTTAGCAACCATTTCGGGATTAGTTCTAAATAACGTTCACATTCTTGATGTTAGACTGAAAGTTAGAGCCATTTTGAAGTCTTAAATTTGACATGAGGGCATTTCACAGCCGCGCAGATATTCAAAGACTTGAGAGTTAGAATTTCAGAATATGTAATTCTTTTCTTAAACGTATGAAGAATGAGTATTCTGCTTTATAAGAAATTACTTCATTAAGAGAATTTTTAAAAATGTGTTTTATTTTGAAAGAAATTCATCCGCAGGAACAGCTTTTAAAGATCAAACATGTAAACAGGCGGGCACAAAATACCAAGAAGAGTAAATATTCATGCATTTTATTCGAATTTACTGTGCGCATTTATTTATTGTTAATAGGAACAGAAGCATTGTGCAAACACATAAAATATAAAATAAATATTGGCACCTTGCGTATTTAATAAATAATGGCCTATCACTGTTAAAAATTTTACAATAGAATTTCTATTTATTTAAAATTAGAAAAAAAACACACTTCGTTAATATTCATGAAGATCTCTCTGTCGCTTAAAAATCCTGTCACAAACTAGATAAAAATTAACATTTGCGAAAACGCCGAAATGAATTGCATTCAGTTGGCTGCGTATCAAAATAGGAATCCTGATAGTGTATTCTCATAAGCTTATTTTCTGAGTCTGAAAATCGCAGTTCTGTGTTTGAATTTGATAAAAGTTTTGTTTTCGACTTAGTATGCCTTACAAGGCTGGTATAAAGAAAGAAAGAAAGATAATCTAGAAAAATCATTTCCATATTTCGTTTTTTGCATAAATAGAAAATTAATTTAGTTTTTGTCATTCTGTTTTTAAAAATACTTTTATGAATACATTTTCTAGCAAAATAAAGTAAAGACAAAAATAGCAAAAATAAAAGCCTTATACTTTACCGAATTTAAATCAAGTACTACCTCTTTCTATCACTAAGCAACGCTACGTGATACTTAAGCTTTTAGGACTTGAGATTTGATTTTCTTGCACCGTTGTTAGACACGTGCTGCTCAGGTTTGCAAATGCATTCTATAATTGTGTAGAGTTCGACGGAAATCGATGTTTGAATATTGTTTACTGCCCTAGAGAGTTGAGGAAATTTTGGCTAATCTTTGGGATATGGTGAAAGGTAGTTTGGTGACATTTTGGTAACGCAATAATCTGAGAAGTACACAGTTCGAATCACAGATTATTTTGTCTCAAAGAAATGAGAGATCATGAGACATGTCATGTGACATTTTCCGGAAAATTCCGATCGTGATTTTAGCTAATAAGCACTTAGAAACAATTTAGCTAAAGTGCAGAATCGTCCACTTACTTGACCACCCACTTGTATTTGCCTGGCGCTTTTTACAAGAGTAAGAAGAATTGGATTTTTGTCAATTTTCTTTGACTTTTTAAGTGAAAATAGGTCGATTTATACATGGATAAAGTCAAGAGTGTGCGCAATGCCACTTTTGTGCAATTCTGGGATGTTTTTTAAAGTGAAAATAGGTCGACGTGTACATGGATACCACGTATGTGAAATTCTTAAAAACGCGCGAAGCAGTGGGCGATTCTGCACTTTCTGCCAATTTCGCATCTAATCTTCGTCATGATTTAGCACTTTTGTTCCATAAAAATTCTAGCATAAGCGTAATTCGGCTAGCAGATTGTTGGAAAAAATATTGAGTAAAAAAAATAAAAATAAAAAACATGCCTTTACTTCGTGAAAACAAAATGGCGTCCAAAAAAACTAGCAGGTTGCTGTAGCAGATTTGGTCGCCAAAAAATCGCCAAGTTGCCATCATTCGAAGATTCACCGAATTTTTTTTAAATGTCATTTCTAAATTTTGCTTAGTCTCTGATCAAAGCCTCACTAAAGAAATATAATTCTCTTTAGTTGAGGTTCATTGAATAAATTATAAAATATCCATTGACAAGGTTCTGTTTGACTCATCTTCAAAAAGCCCACCAGCGGCCGAGCGGTAAAGTCGCTGAACACTGGTAGTTCGGTCCGAGGTTCGAATCCCGCGAACGGGCTGGCTGCATGAGTGTTTTCGTGGTTTTACCCATGTGCAACGTATATACGAGCCAGTTTCCCTTAGAAAGTCCTCCACGAAGGCATCCCTCCTCTTAGGCAGATAGCCCTCGAGGCTTTGCCATACTCACACACACACACACACACACACATCTTCAAAAAACTGCCTAAATGCAGCATAATTATAAGGGAACTTTAATTGAATTATATGATTATTTTATTGAATTATAGAGGACTCGAGTATGCTTGTGAAGAAAGAGAGCACTGCTATTAAAAATAAAGAAGAAACCCAGGGCTAGTTATCGTATATAAGTAGAACGAGAGAAGTTCTAAGTTCGAATCTATATATCGTAAGCTCTTTTCTGTCAGTATTATTCATTCTTTTAAAGGTATATTATCATGGACAAAAATATTCACCAAAAAATGTTTAAGCATATCAGATCATTCAAGTATCAGTCACAAACTTTAGATAGATTTTGAGCTACTCCTGAACAAAGCGAAGTTTCGTGATAAGAAGTACTTCTTTAGACACAGTATTCTTTTAAATGTGCTGTTTCATACACTTCCTTTTCTCCGGAATTTATTCATTATTTTATAAAATGTCAGTCATTATTTTAAATAAATCAATATTACCAAAAAGTCATTATTTTACAAATAAATGCATCTAAAAATCTCAAAACTTCATGATTTTAATTGGCAGTTGTAAATTGGTACGGGTTTCAATTTCATTCGCAACATATTTTTAAACCTATTTACATACATAGTGTTAAGGCTTTTTGCTAAGCTAATTACAATTTAAAGATAATATTAATCTTAATGGTCTTTAGGGAACATACTAAGTTTCTTGTAAATCCTGGGAAAATAAAGTTTATTCCATTCAGAAACATGATATTAAATTCCAAAAATGTTCAGTTTAGCAAATTCAATTTAGCGTTTCTCTTCTTATTGTTTATTTACTGTCTATAAAATTACGTCAGCCTTCAAAATGGTAACTGGGTTCTTTGTACAAGCTCTCAGGACGATTTGATAAGCCAGTTTTTTCAAATCAGGCGTTGAAGGTTCGAATCAACAAATCAACACTGCTACAAATTTAGTGGCCTCAGTTACTTACAAAATGATTATCTATTACAGAAAGGTGAAAAATGTATTTTACGAAAAACACCCGGTTAATCACACAAATTTAGATCATTTAAATCTTAATAAATGAGTAAAAATATAAATTGAATAAAGTGAAAGATTTTAGTCGGATAAAAATGATTAAACACAGGAAAAGAATCAATCATTTGCTAAAGCGATAACTGATAAGGAATCTGGATATATTAATAAAATATTCTTAAGAAATTATCGGCTCTTATAAAAGCTTGGAAACTGTACATGATTCGTAATCTTTTTCTTTCTGTATTCATATTATTAATAATTTTCACAATGTATGTAACAATATGCTTATGTTTTTTATTTAATCATTATGTTAGATATGAACGCAAAAATAATACCTGTTGTTTCCTTTTAAATTCCAGAATATTAATTTGCTATATGAACATCTCTATAACTACTTACAGTTTCTCAACCAGTAATAGCCAAAGTGAGCATTCACAACCAATCACTGTTTGACTGCAGAACGTTAAAGAAGTGACACTTTAAATCTTATGCTAAATTTTATGCATATAATTCGGGAAAATTTCATGAATATTATGAACACTAATTCGTAATATTCAAATCGAAAATGTAATTAACCTGTTATTTTTTATCAGAGTGAGTGTGCACACTTCCGTAAATCAAAATACACAGAGATTAGTCGTTCTTCTAAGCCAGGAAACATGAAAAATCTGCTATACGCTTGACGGAATTCTAACTGAAGATCTTTCAGTTGCACACAAGACGTGCTAGTACTTCCACCACGAAAATACCAATTGCGGAAAGGTATAATTCCACTTAAGTGTGTATTGAAACATCAATATGCCTGAAAACGTTCCTTTATTCACAACCAATCACTGTTTGACTACAGAACGTTAAAGAAGTGACACTTTAAATCTTATGCTAAATTTTATGCATATAATTCGGGAAAATTTCATGAATCTTATGAAAACTAATTTGTAATATTCAAATCGTAAATGTAATTAACCTGTTATTTTTTCTATCAGAATGAGTTTGTACACTTCGGTAAATCAAAATACATAGAGATCAGTCGTTCTTCTAAGCAAGGAAACATGAAAAATCTGCTATACGCTTGACGGAATTCTAACTGAAGTTCTTTCAGTTGCACAGAAGACGTGCTAGTACTTTCACCACGAAAATACCAATTGCGGAAAGGTATAATTCCACTTAAGTGTGTATTGAAACATCAATATGCCTGAAAACGTTCCTTTATTTTTCCATTCTTTTGATATGAATCATATTTCTCATTGAGAATCTGTTGAATTACTGTACCAGACGAGAGTTTACACCAGTAAATGAAATTTTCTTAGTCATATAAAAATTTTCACTGCAAAGCCTTAAGCATATGTGTTGATTTTCTCATCCTTGAAAGATGAAAGTTAGAATAAATTTTCTTGTATTTTGTTTTCCTTTTCTTGATATTTTAGACTTATTTGTTTTCCTGGTCTTCTTTTCTTTTGAACTTTTCATGCTTTTCAATTTTCTATAATATTCGCTTTTTCGTTTCTTTCCCTTTTTCAAGTAAGGAATTATTTTTTTTTTTATAAAGTGTCTGTAATTCTAAATATGTCTTTATATTTTTTCCTCTCTTTTTTTCAAAACGTTTATATTTTCAATTATTGTTTTGAATGGACCCATTGTCTTCTATAATCTTGAGTGGCACTTGTTCATTTTGTTTTTTTTGGAACTAATATTATCGGCGTTTGATAATTTTTGTAAACAGCCTTCTTTTTTTCCAACGTTTCATTATTGAGTGAATGACTATAAGAATATAAAGTGCAATTCCTTTGTACTAGATATATCGTTTCATTCCTTTAATTTCTGTGTAGTTCAAAATTACTTATTTTATGTTTTGACATTGAATCACTGATCTTAATTAAACTTATTACTAACTAGGCAAGCATTTAATCAATAAGAACATTTAGAAGCAATAAATAGTACGGGTTACATATAGTGTAATAATATAAATTTAAACAAATTTAAATTCTTAACAAATACGTATAAAAGTAAAAAAGTAAAAAAGCAAATTTAAATTCTAAAAAAAAGGAAAAAAGCCAAAATAATTTAAAATAATTTAAAAATATGCAAACATGTAAGAGATTTAATTCTCGAATTAATCTACAATATCATTTAAATTCAGAAGCATAAGCAAATCAAGTGCAAAATCTATTCAAGAAAATAAATCTACTAATTTAATAAATTAAAATTAAATTAAACAATTTTTTAAAAAAATGCATATGTGAAGATCGTAGAGTAGGCAGGAGACAGACTTATCAAAGGGAAGTTGCCTCCAAACCTAACTCTCCAATCATTCAATTCGTGTTTCGTCATTCATGTAGGCAAGGGTAAAAGTCAAAACCAAAAGTAATTCCAATAAAGTGGTACCGTTAGAAATTAACATTTAAGTATTAACATTTAAGAATTAAAGTTCAAAAAGGAAAATACTAATTAAGTCTTTTGAGAAACAAGCAAGTAAAGTCAAGAATCAAACTTTTTCTTAAAAAATTAAATTTTTAAAAATTTTAATTTTTTATAAATAATAAAAAAATCTAGAAACCAATGTATTTTAGAAATCCTTGTCTACAGAAACTTCCCCTACACGAATATGCATATCAATAAAAAGAAACTATAAAAGAACTATACATAATCCATATAAACCAATAAGAATAAAAAATAAAAAACAAAAAGAACTAATTCACAATTTTTAAAATAAATATATATTTAAAAATATAATTTTATATTTCGAAAATACTTAGATACTACATAAAAATTTTTTTAAAAAATACTTAAGGCAAGTAAATAGTAAGTTTTAATTCTAACTTACCTACTATATGAGTGTTGGGGGTCTGCAAAAGTGTTGTGAAAGAGAAGTAAGTGTGTTCTTCAAATTATATAGATGGCGCTTGTGTAGGTAAAGTTGAGTGTCAAGATACTATCTTTGTTATAGTAAAAATTTTTTGTAAATATTAATATTAATTAAATTAAATTAAATTTAAAATCCTAAAGGTAGTAATATCAATTATTTAGGGAGTTAAGTAACTGAGCCAATTAAGAGATGTATGTTTGCTTGAAGGACATTAATAATAATATAATAATTTCTAGCTCCAAATTATATCGCATAAGTTAGTTTAAATACTCAACGCACAGTCCAATTAATCAAAAATAACATTACAACCATCCCGAGCAGCTTTATTTCTGAAACTGCCACTTTCAAAGGATTTTACGGCTTGCCATCTTAATTCCGAATCTGTTCTGCATTGATTAAATTTAAACATTCTCAGGCTAAAGAATTTGTCTAATGGATGTAAGCTGTTGCATATCTAAAAATGATTAGAACATAAAAAAGAAAAAAAAAAAAAAAAAAAAAAAAAAAAGCAATTAACTTCAGCTTTTTAAAGATTGCCTAGTTGCTTAGAACTTTTATAATGAATTTATATAATTTTTTTTGTGTGATTAAAATGTTGTATCTCACAAGCCTTTTGCACTCATCAGTTGACTTAAGGATTAGGTAAAAACATAATAACTACAAATAAAAGCTAAAGTCATATTTCATTTCCGTTTCGTTTAAGTATGAAACCAACTTGTCTTAAATTTCAAGCTTCATTCATTTATCGACTACTCGCTTGTATCTTTCATTCCCAACAAGAAACTAGTTGTATAATGTCTATTGCGCTTCATTAACATAATTACATTTAATAATTAACATAATTAATTTAACATACTTTATTAAGTTATTAACTTTATTTATTAAGTTATCTAAATTATTAACATAATTACATTTCTAAGTTTAATGATATAGTGGTTGCTCGTTTGCATCTGATTATAGTATATAGTAAGACATTTTTTTTCGTACAGCCAAATATATATATAACATTTTCAGGCTAAAGAAATGGTCTTCTGTTTCGACAATCAACAGTTTCCGACAATAAATTATTACGCAACATGTAGAAGGAGCAGGAAATACTTGCATCTGTAGCAGTGTTCATCGTTACTTGGAGAAATTCAATTTACTTTTAGCTTATCATTTGCTGTTAGGCAGTAGATTTGACTTTTCGCTATTAACTTAATCTTTACAGCATCATGCTCATTGATATATAGAAGAAAATATGTTTTACTATTAGCTTAGCATAAGTACAGTTTAGAGTAAAAACTGATTTAAATATTTAGCGTTGATACATTAAGTTATAGAAAGCTATAAATAACTATGAATGATTCACCAGATTTTAAAACAGTGTAATTTTTAGGGGTTTAATGTGTTGAATAATAGCTGACGCATGAAAAGAGTCTCTATTTATAGAGTTTTAGGATTTTTTTTGTTGCTGGAGAAGTGAAAAGTGTGCAATGCGCTCTCCGGATTTCGAACTCTGGACCTTCCACATACGCGTCGAGTTTGCTTCCAGTTTTACAACGAAGGCATGAGGAAAGGTGGGAGAAAATACCTTATAAGTCTTACCAAAATTTCCTAATTTTTTTCCCACTGTATTTTCCTGACATTTAAGGAAAGCGTGGCTCGTTGATCACACAACATATCTAAGCATTAATTTAGTACGATTCTTACGACCCATTATAGCATAGTCCTTCAGGTCTCTTGATCTAACGCGATGTGACTGCTTCCTTTGAATCGTACTTTAAAAGGAGGTACTTTTAAGTACCATCGTACTTTAAAAGGAGGAAATTTCGTTGCATGAAGTACTTGATTTAAAGTTGAATTCGCAGAATGTGTTGTGCCAAATATATTTTCGGCTAATCTTTGGGATATGGTAACAGGTAGTTTGGCGACATTTTGGTAAGGCGATAAAGGTTACTAGCTAGGACTTTAGCAGTGTACATGGATAAAGTCAAGAGTGTGCGCAATGCCATTTTTGTGCAATTCTGGGATTTTTTTTTTTAAGTGAAAATAGGTCGACGTGTACATGGATGATACCGTGTATGTGCAATTCGTAAAAACGCGGCAAGCAGTGGACGATTCAGCACTTTGTCCCAATTTCGCACCTAATCTTCGTCATGATTAAGCACATTTGTTCCATAAAAGTTCTAGCATAAGCGTAATTCGGCTAGCAGATTGTTGGAAAAAAAAGTTGAGTCTCAAAAAAAAAAAAAAAAAAAAAAAAAAGCCTTTACTTCGTGAAAACAAAATGGCATCCAAAAAAAACTAGCAGGTTGCTGTAGCAGGGTTGGTCGCCAAATTTTCGCGAAAAAATCGCAAGTTATCATAATCCGAAGATTAACCATATTTTCTTTCAAGAAATACCTTTATAAATCGTTAGCACTGTTTCAGAATTTTCTATAAAGAGACACAGAAGTAAATACATTACTTTGCAGAATAAAATACAATTGAAGTATTCTTTTAACTTTTTTAAGCGGTGTTGTGAAGGAAAGCTTAAATGAATTTACATTTTGCAAGTTAAAGGTAAAGAAACCGTGAGTGATAATCTAAAACATAAGGCGCTTTGAATGTACAATTATTTAAAATACAGCTGTGACTTTGCTTTAAAACGTAAATTTCATGTCTAAATTTTGAGAATATCGGTAATTTTTATCTTGTGGTGAAATAAAAAAACATCAGAAATTTCTTACATTTTCGTTTTGTATGTCCATTAAGAATGTCTTGAAATTATGCTCAGTAAATTTGTAATACAGAATTCAAATAAATATATTTTACCAACCTTCTACTGCCATCGGTTTCTCAGCAGATACTGTTTGGAAGGAGGGGGCATCTGCAGACACTTCGCATTTATAGATCCCTGCTGTTGAGCGACTGACGTTACGAATGTAAACTGATCCATTGCTAGACCTGCCCAGCTGTAAATAGAAGAATTGTGTATATCATAAAATTATAAAACTACATGCATTTTAATGACGCGAAATATAGATTTGATATTACAAACAACATTTCTGAATTAGTTTATCACCAGATATGACTATCTATAAACTAAAGTAAAATTAATTTCATATTTTGATGATCAGCATAAAATTTACGAACTTTTTTAATTTTAAGCTCTTCGTCATCAGTAACGCGTCTAGCGCGTTCAAGTGAAACTTCCGAAGGCCGGCCGTAAGGCGCTACAAGCGTTCTTCTACATTTTAAAACGATTTCTAAATGTTTACTTGTTTGAGTTTTTATTTTTGTTTGTTCTAATACCTCCTAGAGGGTAGGACTAATCAGGCATTCTATTTTTAATTGAATTTTCCCCGAATTTTATGAATATTCGCGCCATTTTACATAAGATACAAGACAGTGAGAGATGGCTTCAACGTCTACTCAGCAGAAAAGAGAAAAAAGGAGGTTGTGAATTGGAAAGACAAGAAGGATATACGTTTGATGAGTATAGTCCATAATAACTCGATGATTGATGTTGGAACACGTGAAAGAACTGAAAAAAAAAAAACAATAATTGTAAAAGATTACAACAAAATGGGAGGAGTGGACCGCCTGGATCAGATGTTATAAAATTATCCTGCTGTTAGATATAAGCAGAGGTATTATGATTTTCCCATTATGCTTTATTTCCTTTTAATTTTACTTAATATTCCTTGACATTCATCCACTACGGAAATTATGTATGGGAAGTTATGATGTACAGAGAAAACAACATTACACGCTACAAAAAACAGACGGCCGCTGGGGGTAAATTTTCGCGAACAGGAGAGGGCGGCGAAAGGGTTAAAAAGCGTTATTAATTTAAAAAGAATCGAATTTATTATAAGATGATAACACAACAGAAAATAATACATTGCAATACGTGATAATTTGACTCGTTACAAATGTACAGTGTTCGCTATCTGATATGTGACAATATGAAGCATCCAATAGGGTTAAAATTGACACTTTTCGTAGGAAATGCAATTTTTAGTGTTGCATTGCATATGAAAATCATGTACTCAAGCGCGTAGAAACATTAAAAACTGGAGAACAGAAAATTTCTTTAAGTACTAGGATTGCGTGCTTTCTCTTTGTTTCAATGCATGGAAAGCTTTAACGTGCCTTATAAAAATGTCATTTTAGCAAGTTTCTAAAACTGATAGAGGAAGAATTGTGGCTTATAGAGATTGTGTATTATTCTTTTAAGAAATCTGTGCTGGTGTTGGAACGAATCAAAATGAAATGCAATGGATAGATGCAAGATGGACAAAATGATCGACAAGAACGTTTAGACTACCTCACATCTATCATCGAAAGAGAGATGAGTATTATGTGTTCATGGTATTGACGCATGTCACAGCAACATCGAGAGCCATAGTTTAAAGGCTGTTGCACAGCAACCCGTGTCAGATCGTGCCATTCAATTCTGTCTGCAAAGAATCGGAATCTTTGCAAGGCATCCATTGCTGCAGTTGCTGTTGACTTTGTACCACTCACATGCGTATCTGCATTAAGGTGTTGAACGCCAAATTTGAACAGACGATTGGCACGTCGTTGTATCTGTATTCTGACTGCAGCATCATTGAAGAAACTGAAGAAGAAGGTTCAAACCTTCGAAACTAGTCTTACAAATTTATAAATATTGATGAGTCTTTTTACTTTAATTCCTCCAATAATAATCATGTACCTGTTTCAAGGAACTGCGGTGACAGATATCATGACTCTTGCATTATGCATCCCCATAGTCTGTCACTTGGAATAATGGTACAGGATGTCATTAGATTTTACTGCTGGGCATTGGTACTTTGGTCTGGGGTTCAGTTTCCGGAGAACAGGCTAACTACACTGTCGGTTTCGTAGTTTTTACCATGTGTAACGTGTAATGCAGCCAGCTTCCCATAGAAAATAATCCACAAAGGGCTTCATTCCCTGCGGCAGATAGCCATTTCCATAATCAAGTAAACCAACACTTACCTTCAAGCTCTTCCTGCGGACAATTTTCTGCAGAACTATACACGATATACGACTACACTTGGTAATCACCGTTCAACAATTCTTCGTTGTCCACCAAGATATACTTCCGTTTTGGCTCAGCTCTTTTTCCCTTATTTCGATTATCGAACATGTCTGTTCAAAAACTGGCGAAAATAATGTTTCAGCTTGCGCCACCCGTGGCTACGCGATATGAACTGTGAAAACTTCATGAATTGCCATACACCAAACGCACATCCCAAGCATCTTCCTGTCAACTCTGAGGCACGTCGTATGGAGGTAGGAACACTTTCTTTTGTCTGGCCAAGGTTAGATCTTTTCTTCCTCAATCCAATCCTGTTTGCTATCACAGTGCTAAGAGAGTCATTGGAGCCAGATGTGGAGCTCATCTTCGAGAGAAGAATGGGGATTCTCTGAAGGGAAAGATTTGGGATTCCCAGATAGAAAATCCCATTCTTTGTGACTTACTTAGACCTGTCGGTGTTGCTAACTTTAGATTAAAACTGGACATGACTATCTCATGAAACACCTATACAAATTTAGATGACCAGACTCTCTATTTTTATCCATGTGATATTGACGACATATGCGGTGACCATTTGGACATATGTTCTGGTCTTAATGGAATGGCATCGGTTAATACTGTAAAAAAGTACTGTACTTTTTTTAATGTTTCTGAATTGTATAGGGCTGCTTGTCACAGACTAATGAAGTCATGCCTAGGTCTGACGTAGGATTAAAAAACTGTCCTTTCGTCCGTAATCGCAGCAACTATTTCCTGCCATGGTGTTCTAAATACAGACACATAGTACTGATTTTTTACTGATACGCAAGTTGAAAGAGGCTGCACTGCAGTTAACGTTTCTTTTTTTTACCTCCTGCCAACTTTTAAAAGGGGGTATATAAGATATTTTCTGTCTCTTTCCAGTATGCCTTCCTGGTGTAACGATACCACACTCGGCTTGTAATCGGGGGTTCCAGTTCGAGTCCTGGTGAGGGCATTGCTCATTTTTCAAGTACTTCTGCTTCGAAATGACTCTACAAGGTCGCCACCTAAAGTTAAACCTGTCGTGCATGAATATAAATTGTGTCACACATAAGTTGCAAATTACCCTCACGAATTAGACCGGACCATGTTTTTCAGTTTCGACTATTATGCTATGTTGCACACCGATTATTTGAGAGTACTGAAATAAATAACAAAATTTAATTACTGCGTAATGAACTTATGATTTTTGTAAATATTTATTTGAAAAAAACATTGCAAAATAAAGAAAAATGATTTTCAGTTTATAATATGTCTGAGTTTTATGTGAAAGAGGTAATTAGAATAACTTCTGAAGATTATACAATGGAAACATATTGGCGCTGCAATCTCAAAAACGGGCAAGAGGGTTAATTAGTTCAAAAAAAATAAAGATGCTAAGGATTTTTCGACTTTTATTTTGTTATCGGATCAAAGTGCAAGTGAGTGGCAGTGTCAGAGAAGATTTCAAATCACATTTTTAACAATGAACCAGAATTATGGAGTAAGAATTGAATTAAATAATCTTACGTAGACTGGCAAAGAATACTGTCGCTTAGGATATATTCTATAAAGTTCTAATTGAAGCATTTTAAGAAATAATCTAGAAAGGAACAAAGAGATAAGCTAGACGAATATTATCTGGTGTTAATATGAGTACATAAATGTTCAATAAATCCTGGTATGAAATGAATCCGAATGACATAAAAGTATATTTTCATAATGATTACTTATGATCCACATGATAAAGACAGTGGTTAATGTGACTTAGAGAAAAATAATAATTGAATCCATAATGGTGAATAAAACAATGCCTCATAAAGGATTTTACAGACATCTCAATTTTTACAATTCCCACTGTAGAGATAGTGGGTTATTTTGATGATGGAGACGTGAAAAATGAGCAATGCCCTCGCTGGGACTCGAACGTGGACCTCTTGAATATGCACCGAGTGTGTTACCGTTACATTACGAAGCCATGCAGAAAGGGGAGAGAAACTACCTTATAACATAGAATAAAGTTATAGACATGTTAACAAACTGAACTGTAGTATTGTACACGAAGGACAAATTAAGTACTAAATATAGGCTAGAGAAAAATGCATCTCTAAATGAACCTTTAATGAATTCTACTGCGTTTCGTTTGGATATATTTATTTAATCTAAAGAAAACTCAATGTGGAGTCTATTATTTCAGACCCTGTGAATAAAGGCTAGAATACTGAATTTGGTTTCTCTCAATCAATGTTCGGATGTTGCAAATTGACAATGAAAAGGAAAATTCATAGATTTCACTGTAAAGTATATTGCACCTGAAAGTATTGTTATGGCAATAACACAGCCAGTTAAACGAAAATGATAAACACACTATTTCTGAATGCAGCTGATCTGTGCACCAGCTCCAGTACTACCTTTATTAAATATGTACAGTAAACAGTATTTAAGGTGCTCATTATGACATTTTGATTAAATCCGTTATGTGCATGAATTACTCTGACAAACTCAGACCCTTTATATGCTTTGTTTTCCCACTTTTTTGGTAAAATATTCCAATCTCTCAAAGTCATAACAGAAGTACATCATTCTATCACAATTTGCATCTACAAAACGGGTAGGCCGTTTGCAACCGTCCAATATCTGAGTTCTGGGAAATGCAATGCAAGGTATAGCTCACGAGTTGTCTCAATGGCAATATCAAAATTATAAGGTAGGCTTCATTCGGAATCTTGTTTAGTTACAGATCGCTGCAGGATTATTTAAATCTGTGCACAAACTTGCAGAGACGTAAGGGATGCATATTACTATTTTTATCGACTATCTGTGCTCTCTTGCGTGGACACCAGGCTTCAGTAGTGATCCAAACTGCTTACGACAAGCGATATGAGAAAGTTTTCTGCTTCCCTTTTGTCCTGTTACTCTATTCATGTCTGGTGCGATTCCAACGCCACATGATATGAAGATTGATATTCCTACGTTAACTTGAATAGCCGTAAGAACTTGGATGGAATAGAACAAATTTCTTAAGTCTCATGCGATATAAGTATTTGAGTATGTAAAGAGAAGTTATGAGTTTCATGGTACCTGCATAGTTTAGTTGTTTACGAACTATTTCCGAAAATATCACTATAAGAGACAAATATTACTTTTATAATTTTGCTGACAAACTCATAAAAATGCAAGGAAACCACTGTGTTATTTTATTCTTGCACGACTCTAAGGTGGCATGTGACTGGTGTAATCTGCTACAAGATATTCAAGATGGCTTGGGAAGTTTTACTTTATTCCCCGCATAGTTCAAACTATAATTCAAATCAAAATGTTTTCATTAAATCTCTGCACCATTTTCGGTCGCTGGGCTAAGTCCTCGTAAAGTCTTTGCCAACAGGATTCTAGTGAATTTGTTATTGGTAGCTTCTTTTCCACAGGGATGGGATCCGAAATGTGCTTGAATGATAGTAGAAGATCATAAAGGTGAATAGTGTCAATTTTTTGCAATGATCACTTTTGATCTTGAACAAAATAAGTGTTTATTATGCGTTACGAAAGCGCTCATAAATTTCCTAGAAACCCAATAAAACTGTAACAAAGTATAGGTAAAGGTAAAGGTAAAAATATGGGGGACACCAGCGATGTACCATAGGTCAACTGTTAATGCCTTCCCATACTAACTCTTAAAAAAATGTGGGTGGGATTGCAAGTTTTATGGGAATTTACATAGACTGAAGCTTTCCAAAAGGTCTAGAGTTTGCCTATTATGGTACATCGTGCAATCCCATAGTACGTCCTGCATCCAGTATTTATTAAAAACAATGATGTAGGACATAAGTAGATTACAAAATAGTCGGAATACAATTTGAGATTCACAAGATAAGATGAACATTTGATTTGGTGCAACAAAAATAGAAGGTAAACATAATTAATAAACAGATAAACATAATGAGATAATTATAATTAGTACTGGCAACACAATGTTAAAATGAATTGTAATAATAATGCTAAAGAGGTGAGTCTCCATGGGTTATTTCAGATATATTGGTTTATTGTAGTTTATAAAGTTCACGAGCGGAGTATAACAAAGTATAGCTTTTCAGCTGTACTTTCAGCGATGGTTTTCACCCACATTATTGCCGATAAATGTGCATTAGATTTATCACTTTAATCTGTCCGGCTGGTGAAAGTTGCTCTACAGGAAGTAACGTATTCCGAACATAAATTGCAATTTACAACTACAAATGTGATATGTATTCATCGTAAACCTGTTAGGTACTCACAGTATAAATTCCCGTGATAATGCCAAGAAAGATACGTTTGCTATGTTTTAACAACTATGAAATAATTACTGTTTTAAATAAATAAATGCAAAGTCATCAAGCGTAAAACGATCGTTTATTGCATGATGCGGTAAATTCGGTTAGTTCTGGATACCTAAGAAGATAAAGAATAGGTTTTAATATCGCGTTTTTAATTCCTTTTGATTATCATATTTTGGTTATAAACACTCACACGTTTGCACTGAATGTTATCTGTATTGTATTTATTTTAATTTACTACAGTTAACAACCTACACCGACACAATGATTTGAGAATAAAATATCAGGGATTTCTTTTCTGTGTTGTTCAGTCCATAATATGAGACTGACACGCAACTTTACGAACGTAGCGTTTAGTCTATAGGTAAATAATAACAAAGCTTGTCAAAAGGTATAATGATGAAAGGTTCTTTTGAGAGGGTTAAAATACTTGGCATTTATTTTTGCTTACTCCAAAGCGTAACAACATAAGTAGAGATACGTACGTCGACTTGGATGCCTTTCAGGGGGAAAAACTGGCCCGGAGGCCGATCGGTTGGGACGTATCGGAAAAACTCGACCTCATCTTTATACCATTTGATGGAGTATAGAACGTCACCTTCCAGGTCATAACCGCACGTTAATCTGGTGCCTTGACCCCGGGCTACTTTTTCAGGAACTTCCATGGATACGAGCCTCAGACTGACTGCACCTGAAAAATAGCCAGAAGCAAAAGATTAAATTATTGGTTGACATGAAACAACTCCGAAACAAGCCTATGCTCTTTTTTACCCTGAATATTCACAACAAAAATACTATAACTGTGATTTTATACTTAACATATAAGCAAAGATTTTGAAAACAAATATTTTACTAATCACCGATTATTACCAGATAAGATTCCCCTTCACCAGAAGTTGAGTTTTCTTTTTGTCAGTTTCAAATTAATTCCATTTTTAATCTATTAACTTCATTTCACGATTCATTTCGCATGTAGTCTTTCATATATCTTACTGTGAGTTAGTTATAGTTAGTCATTTAAGAAGATCAATAAGTAAGCTGTTAGGTAAACATCTGAAAAACATACATCTAAATTGTTAATCAGACGTAAAATCTCGGAAGATTATGATTGGGTAACTTAAATATGTTTGAGGAAATAAATAATACTGCAGATTAAATGTTAACATTCAAAGGTATTTTTAAATTAACGAATTTAAGCAAGGCCTTCATACATGATGAAACATAAAGCGAAATAAACTAATTGTTAATATTTTAACAATGTAGTTTTGCTCTCAGTAAAAATTCAAATCATTGCGTTTGATATGCTCCGTGAAAAAGCTATAAATGTGGCAAATGTATATTAAGAGTACTTCCTTCTCTAATATACATTTGTGTGCAAAATTAAGAGAATATGCCCTGAATTAATGTCGAATTTCTAAAAACTAATGGAGAAATTTTAATGAAATTAGTTAGGAATATACATTTATAACAGAGAATTTGATGTAAGATTCAAAGGTCATTTTATGTCCACATGATTATGAATGAATGTACGCATGAGTGTATGTATGCATGATTAGGACTGATAATTAGTGAATCTCATAAAGCAGGGATGTCCAAATTCCACATTGTGATATTTATCTGGAAATGTGTCAAATATGGTGAATGTTCCCTTCTCACAGCTAGTGAAAGTTGCTCCAGGAAGCCAGACAGGTTGCTGACCGGCACGGCATAGTAGACAGGAGGCAGCTGAGGAATATCTGTAGCACTCCAGTAGTAAAGTAGTTCTCAATTCCGGGATGATTCTCAGAACATGGATGATGCGATGAAACTGCTCTTCTAAGAGCGTCCCAGACATGCTGTATAGGTTTGTTTTGGAGATCAGGCTGACCAATCCACGTGGAGAATATCCTAATTTTCCAGATAATCGCCGATCAGCTTATGTGGACGAGAGTTGTCGTCTATTAACAGGAAGCTAGGAACAACCGAGTCACTGGAAAATCGAGCATAGGGCTCTAAGATCCCTCTCTATACCTCATAGCATTCAAGGAGCCTTTGTCGAATACATAAAGGGGTATGCGGCAGTCCAACATAATACCTACCCGAACCTTCACCTCCACTATCGCAATGATCCTTTATCCTGACGAGGGAGGGTTGCTGTCGCATTCCAGGCTTCCTCCAGATACAGGTACGCCGAGAATCAGTGTCCAGGCTGAATCTCTACTCATCTGGAAAAATCACGGTGATCTACTGAAGTCTGGTCCAAGGCTCATGTGTCTGCACAATGCTAAACGTGCTCTCCGCTGTGTTGTAGTGAGCGGGAAGCAAATAGCAGATTTTCTGCGATACTGCCCTATCTCAAGAAATCTTCAGGCAACTGTAGACTGTGAAACTTGAGTTCCAGCGACAGCATACAGCTCAAGTGATAGCTGTGTCCTGTGTTGTTGAGTTGAAAGTGCTAAATAACGATCCTTCATTCGTCGCTGCGGATCTTGGTCGACCTTATCCAGGTTTTCTCGATATATACCCACTGTCCTGAAGCTATTTTCACAAAATACAAACGATTCTAAGGATTACATTGAGCTCTGTAGCTATCTGTGCTTATGACTGGCCTGCTTTCAGAATACTGATATTTCTCCATCTCAATCCGTCATCCATACGCTGGTGGCTACTCATTTTACCTGATACCTTTTTAAATTTACCCTACTCTGGCGAGAAACTCGGTGTCGTGAAGGAGTACAAGCTCACAAATTGCTGAAAACTCCTCGTGCGTTTATATACCCCTCCAGCCACAGCTCCGCAGACACGCACGTGTATGATTACTTATTCGACTCTGAATACTTTCACAATTCTTCGGGGGCATGATATTCACTTTTGATTCAACAGGTTTCATAATAATAGACGTAATCTGCAAATTCTCTGAATTTTGCACAGGAGTGTATTTTATTAATAATTAATTACCTAAAAGGTACATGATTGTTGTAATTGCATGAAAAAGCTTGAAGGAATAGCAAATGGGATTATATTGATTATCAATAAATTTAAATCTGTGTTAGTTCACTCCAAAATCGCCCCCTTGACACATGAGTAAATTGTTTCAGAGTAAATATGTTGGAACCTTTGGCGGAAATCAGTGAATATTGAACATTCAGCACGTATACAAGGCCTGGAAAGGCACCTTCCTTGAAAATATAACAAAATATTTAAAACTAGATGTATTATCATTAATGCATGTAAAGGCATGAAAGTATTGGTGCATTTTACTGTTAAATAGAATAAAATAAAATAAACACTTATCTATTGTAAAGTGCCAAAACCTCTTACCATTCACATGGCATTGTGAGAAGAATATAAACTAATGTAAAAGTAATTCACATCTCCATGAAAATAATTGTAACACATATAATACAACTGTCGTAATTTCCCAATATTTGCTACAACGTGTACTATGGTCAGTTCAAGTGAAGCGAATGCGTGCTTAAAATGTCGCATGACGGTGATCGTATCCTCGTGAATAAGTGAATAATCCAGCAAATTGAGCTTTGTATTATATTATTATCTCTAATGGTTTTTCAGTCGTTTTTGAGAATCACAGAGCGGTTTTAACCAAACAAACAAAAGAAGGGATTGCATCATTCAAAGTTGATGAGTATAACACATGTTTTGTCTATAAAACAACCTATTAACTTTAGAGTCTAGTTTTAATATTATTTTAAGTTTGTGATTTTTAATGTTTCCAGTAAAAGTAACTCACATTGAAAAACGTATTTTTGCCTACTTTTAGAAACTGATCAAAATGTGCAATCTATAAATATCATCCAATCTTCTTGAAATTTAGCATATACATCTTTTACATCAGTGAGACTCGTGAAGCAAGCAAAGTCAGCAGAAATTTTACATTTTTTTTTGCCTTACAAAATGCAACCTTACTGTATGTTTGGTAAACCAGGAAGTTTTTTAGAATGTGTTATATTTTTTAAAGTGTTAGATATATAAAATTTTATATAAGTGTTAATACTCCTGTTATAATATATAACATAAGAAATCAGAACGCAAATACGAAATCAAGGAAAAAAATCAGTTGAGAAGATGAACATAATGTAAAATATCAATGAAACATTGTTAAGATCAATAAAATACTTAAGTAACTAATGGCACTGCATTTTACAGCTGATTTTATATCAGAAAGCAGCAAAAAAGATATTTTTAAGTTTTGAATTTATTTCATGTTCAAGATTTCATTTTATTGTTACTGTTACTGATTGAATTTCGTGGGGAAGCTAAACCGACACCGACAAGCAGAAAATAATCCACATTTATTATAAAATTTATTTTGATACTGACGCTGAAACAATGAAATTACATTAACACTGCTCGATAACTTAAACATTTTCTCACCATTTTCTGCTCAAGATTATCTGCAAACAAAAACATTTATTAAAAGCGTAAATTTGCACTGGCTGTGAAAATGCATTCAATATATTTATTTGTTGTAAGTAAAACATTCACATGTTTTATTTATTATTTGCTTTTGCTGCCTTTAATTTTGCACTGTAAACCTTTCTCTTAGTTAAACTTTTTTATTCTCTTTTTTATAGTCCTTTTAAGATACAGATGTTATTTTAAAACTTCTTAATTAATTTGCCAGATTAAATTTTTAAAAGTACAAAGAAAGGTTCTTTACATATTACAGCTAAATAAAGTTCTTTTTTGGCAAAGAAACCACAATTTAACCAACTTCATTAACTTTGAAACGCACAAGAATTATTTAATACGTTAAACAGGTTTGACAAGTATGTACTGAATCAAAAACTGAACATTTACTGCTCTCCTTTTCTGAAAGAAAATGAGCTTGGGAAGATAAAGAGGATTAAACGTTACTTTTCAACGCGCTCTCAAAAAATAAAGAGAATATGAAAGCCATTTCTCCGTTGCTTATAAATAAAAGACTTAAATGGAATTATTTGGATTGTGTCAGAGTAATCGTTTGGTAGAATAATTGTTTGTAGTGAACTCTGGTTTGAAATTTAACTTTTTCCACGTTGCGCAGGTTAAACACATAATCGGTCTGTTTCTTGAAATTTCTTTTCTGCTTAGTTTGCTGCTAGATTTATCTGATTGTCAAAGAATCGAAAAAGGTTAGATTTATATACTGCACATTCATTTATAAAAATTTTTTCTTCATATGCTTTCTTTAGAAAAGTTTGCGTAGAACAGATTATGTTCTCTCTAATGTACATTTTGTTTTCTACATTATACATATTAAATGTTAATATTTTAATGTTTTATAATTATTGCTTTTCTAAAGATAATGCGCAAGCGAATTATAATGAATCTTTTGCTTTTTATATAGTCTTTTTTCACGAAAGATGTTATACCGCAGTATTATTCTTTCCTGATTTAAAATTTTAATCCGTAATAAAACATAATTGTGTTAAAGAAAAGATAAGTAATGCATAAATATTTAACAAATTAAGAAATTAAACATTAAAACATTTTTCTTCTTGAGTACTTATTTATTAAATTTTTTTAAAAAGTATATTTTACATAAAAATAACTAGGATAACGTAGTTTGAATATTTCTGTATAAAACAATTTTAACACCAACGATAATAGTTCGCTTTGCGCAATTATAAATACTTCAGTACAAAACGCTTTATATATTTTAATTTGCTTTTGGAAGCAAAATTCAAGCAATTAAGAGGCCCACCAGCG